TTGTTTTGGTTTGGTTCGCACAAAAAAATGGTGAGAAACCAATGTTTTTACTTTTCTTGTGTTTGGTTTGCAAGAGAAAAAAAGAGAAAACTTATGTTGATTTGACATTTCCCACTTTTCTTGTGTTTGGTTGGTTTTGAAGTGTGTAGGAAAAAGTGTTTAGAGTCACCATGGTAAGATTACCCCCCACTATAGACAAAAATTATTTGTGCTAGTTATGAGATGTAATCTTAATCATATAAAAGTGCGAATGTATCATGAACAAATATTAATAACCCGAATGAATTATAAATTTCTGTTTGTATTAATGAAATCATACGAAACCTGAAATCATCTGAAACCTACTGTAACATGAACTGCGTACCTGATTTGACATGAAATATACCTGTTTGAGATGAAAATAATCACACAAAACCTATTTTCGAAGAAAAAATAAACAAGACCTGTAATAATCTGATTATTCATAAATTTATGAAATACGTACCTGAATTAGCCAAAAAAATTTCTGAAACCTATAAAAACATATAAACGGCCTGAATAGCCATATTTTAGTACATAACATAGCAAATAGCCATCCAGTATATGTGAATTATGACTGTGGGCTCAGAACTTGTTCAATATCATCATCGTTAGCCATCCGGTGCAATATCAATAGATATTGCAGGTTGCTAATCTCAGAAAAATTAACAATCATCATAGCCTAAATTGAACACCCACAAACAGTATCAAAATCAACAAATAGTACGGAAAATCTGAGCACACATAGAACTCCACAAAACATTAGCTCAAATAGAAGATGAACAACAGAGCATCCACAAACAGTGAGCTCACAAAACTGGTGTGCACAAAACTGGAAGTTGTCACAAACCTGGACACAACAACAAACTAACCAACAACCAGCAACAACAAGAAACATTCAGGCCCAACAACCAAACTAACCAGCAACCAGCAACAACAAGAAACCACAAACCCAACTACCAAACTAACCAGCAACCAGCAACAACAAGAAACCACCAACCAGCAACCGGCGAAAACCAGCAACAACCAAACTAACCAGCAACAATCAAATCAGAAGAACCAGCAACCAGCAACAACAACAACTACCAACATAGACTGAGCACATGTTGTGTTTAGCTTAGGGCTCAGAACTTGGTCAATATCATCATTGTTAGCCATCCAATGCAATATCAATAGATATTGCAGGTTGCTAATCTCAGAAAAATTGACAATCATCATAGCCTAAAAATAAAAAAATCACCAACGAAAACCAAATACCTAAATGCCCCAGAGCAATAGCCATCCAGTACAATGTGTACACATTGTAGGTTGCTTGCATCTTAGGAAATATCCTGCATTCACAAATTCAATTACAAAAGTTAGTATTCCACAAAATGATATTAATCATGGAAGATAAATATTACAAAATGGAAGCAAATAAATACTTACTACATATTACAACAATATGTTCCATCATCATAATGTTCCACAAACACAATAAAAACATTATCACCAAAAGTAAGTGGATTTCACAAGTATGTTAGAAATGAGAATCACAAAATACCACGTAGAGACTTCTTCTATCGGTCTTCAACCCCCTTCGTTGAGAAAGGTAGCAATCATCTCTTTTTGACCAACCGATGATATGCCCATAAATAGTCTTGCTTCATGCTCATTCAAATATAAGTGTCGGTAGTATGTATCTAGCTTTTCAACACTAAAATCTTGTAAATGAGCATATATGACCGTGGATAACTTCTCGGTCCAATGCATATTTACACACTTCATGTTTGCGCTAAATACATCTATCTTATCCACCATTTTTAACATGAGCTCATCTTCTAGGTTGTTCCTACGAGCCTTTCCCTTAGCAACACATACCTTTGCTTTAGAACTTGATATGGCGGGTGTTTCCTTAGGCGGAGGAGTGTCCTCTTCATCTAAAATGTGTACTTGAGGGGATTGTGAGGCAGGTAAAGGCGAGTCACCATCATCTCCAAGATTTATGGACTCACTACGACTAAATTTTTTCCAAGCATCACATGCAAATTCTCCTCTAGCTTGATCATCCCCGATGATAAGGGAAAGATCATCGTAGTGAGTCAAGGGTTTATTGACATATTGTCTAAGTTTAGCATTCTTAAAGCTCTTGTCCTGAAAAGTACTAATTGAGCTCCCCATAATCATACCAATGTAATCCTATAATACGTTGTATCACATTACTAAGTTATCATTTATTTTTATGCTTATACATGTAACTGTGGTTAAAATGTAGATATACCTTGAAATAAGGATAGTATAGCTGGTTGTTAACGATCTCTTGGGGAGTATCATTTGATGGCTTGTCTCATGTACGCGTTCACGCAAACAGATAATTGCTTGTAAAACCTTGTTGAAATATCTACTGACTGTCTCCCCTGATCTTATGAAATGAGATCTCACAATGCGATTTTTAGATTTATGACCCAAATATTTAGTGTCATGATAAGTTGTTCTTCACACTGATATATTCCTTGAGTCTTTTAGAAAGCATATTGTTCCTCATTATACTTACTAGCTTAACAAAAGCACCACTCGCATTCTAAATTAATTCACACAACTATCACTAAAACCATTATAAATACGCTCTATATGTTCAATTCTAGACCTCTCTTGTCTTTTTTTTTCCTCACTTGGACCACGACGTATAGATTTACGTCTTAGCTTGCATTCTCCTTATGAATGTAATATATTATAACAAGAACGGATAGTGCAGCACCTTGAACCACATTAACAACACTTTGTTCATCGGTACAATCCCCATCACCATCCATCTACGATGCAAAAATCAAATTTGAAATAATTAATATACCTACCAAGCATTCATATGCAATGTCAATAATCAAAACTTAAAAGCTGAATTGCGGAACAAATAACCAGCAACAACCCTGGACACAACAACAACCAACGACACAACAACACAACTCTGGACACAACAACAACCAGACACAACAAACCTGGACACAACCAACACAACCAGCAACTGAAGGAACAACCAGCAACAAAACTGGACACAATCAACAGCAACTGAAGGAACAACCAGCAACAACCCTGGACACAACAACAACCAACGACACAACAACACAACTCTGGACACAACAACAACCAGACACAACAAACCTGGACAAAATTTTTAAAAATTCTTTTTGAGTTGAGAATCATACCTTAGGTCTGAAATCAGTTTCCAGGAAGATCAAAGTCGGCAAAACCCCCAAATTTTTCCAATAAAGGCGCTGATAAAATCCAGCAAGCCACGAAATCCAGCAAAAAACCCCCGCAAGCCAGAAAGAGGAGGTAACCCTAGCCCTCACCTGTGATTCCGCCCATTTACCCGAGATCTGACAATCGTACAGATCGGGGCGATTTCCTCTCGTTTTTGAAGGAAATGGGGCGAAGAAAAAATGCCGATGTGGAGGGGATTTCCGCGGCTGGAGGGACGAGGGGGAGAAGCGAACCAAAGACGAGAAACGAAAACCCTAGAAAGGGTTTTGTCGATGTGAAGCGGGTGTCAGGAGGAGAAAAGTGTTTCTTCAGTTCAAAACAGCGAACCAAACACGCCCTTAATATGAATCATCAAGTTTCCTTTAAAAAAATGTGAGTATTTTAAAGAATTATCTGAAATAATATATAATTAAATAATATAAAAAGCCAAATTTCCCAGTCAAGCAGCCCCTTGGAATTCATGAACCCGGCCACGAAAGATAAGCACAATCAATCGATTATAAACTCAATCCGTCCAACTCCCACCTCCACCTGCAACCCCACGTGCTCCCTCGTCGATCTGATCCCTCATCACCAAGAACGATAAAAAAATATCTACACATGTGAACGTAGTAATTAATTAGGGCAAGTTTCACGACTCCCACTGACCTAGGGATTTTACACAAAAGTCCCTTGAAATTTGTAGACTCCACATCTCCAAACTCTGGAGAATTTCAAAAAGCCTCCTGAACTTTAAAGAAATTATCTTTAACCGAGTTAAGAAAAAGAAAGGAAAGCAGGGAAGAAAAACATTTGTGGACATCTGTTTTTTTTCTATGTTTTACTAAAATAGAGATGAATTTTGGGTTTTTGGTATACGTATTAGGGTAAGTTTCATTACATCTAAACTCCAAACAAATTTGGGTATTCAACAGTTTAACTCCCAAAAAATTTTGAAATTCTTATTAGACCCTTAATAATTTTGAGAATTTTAGAAAAAAAACTCATAACATTTTCAATTTTTCCACTTAACCCGATGACTATTTTATGAAGTTTATGTGATACTCTCTTTTTGGGGACTTAAAATTATGGCTTGTCCTCATTATGAGGGCTAAGTAAAGAGAATAAACATATTGTGGGATTTTCTAAAATTTCCGAAAGTTATTTGATGTTTAGGGGGTGTTTGGTTACATTTCTATAAATTATAGGAAATGTTTTTCATCCCAAATTTGATTTCCTTGTATTTCTTAAAAAAATTATAGGAAAAGTTTTGAGAAGTTAAAAAGTACAAATTTTCTTATTTTTTGTATTGTGCTTGTTTGGTTCAAAACAAGAAAATAAGAAATAACTTTTGGAAAAATAGCAACATTTCCTATAATTTATAGAAATGTAACCAAACATCACCAACTTTATAGAAAAGTGAGAACTTTGTAGAAAAGAGTTAATGAGTTTTATTATTTAAATAATGAATGCGTCAGATTTCCAAGAGATTTCCTCCTATTTTAGAAGTTAAATATCAAACGTCTAAACTTATTAGCAATTCAGTAAAAAAAATTTATTTTAGAAACACACTTTAGACATTTCGTCTTACTACTTAACTATGTCAATGACTCGTTCAACTCCCGCAAATGTTAAGAGTACTTCCACAAAATAGCAAAACGTTCAAGGGTTTTTTCGTAAAATTTTCTCTATTAATTAATGTCACAAAATTAACTTACATCTTAACACAAATTAAAGCCCTATATAAATTAACACTCCACACACACGCCAAACGACTTCAACCCCCACACGACTTGCTTCCTCATCCTCCTCCTCCATATATCATCTCCATCATCATCATCATCATCATATCTCCGACGATGTCGACGATCTCCGGCGATGACCAAACCATCGAAAAGCCGCTACGGGTGATACCCGGTAGCTACGGCATACCAATATTTTCAGCAATAAGAGACCGTCTGGACTTCTACTACAACCAAGGGCAGTACAAATACTTCGCCACCCGTGTGGCCCAACACGGGTCTACGGTCATTCGGACCCATTCCATACCCGGCCCGTTCTCGGCGGACTCGCGGATAGTTGCGCTTTGCTGTGCGAAGTCGTACCCGACCCTTCATGATCCCACCAAGGTGCTCAAGATGAACACTTTGCTTGGGCACTTTACGCCTTCGCTTGGGTTTACCGGTGGTTATCGGGTCTGTGCTTATTTGGATCCGTCTGAGCCTAATCATACTCTAATTAAACAGGTTTGGATTTTCTTAAATACTTAGTTTCGTTTTTAGATATGCATGGTTTTTGTTTCAGCTGATATAATTAAGTCTATTTGCTATAATTTATGTATTAGTCGTTTTATTTGGGGTCTAAGTTACTATATTTGGTTTATCACTAGCTGATTTAGATTAATTTTAAGATGTTGTAGTTGGGTTTCATTTTTTTATTTTTTTATTTATTTTTTGTTTGAGAGGAAGGGTTTGATAATAATTAAGTCAGAATGGATATTTTGAATTTAAGCAAGATTTGGAAGCGGTTGAATTTGATACTAAATAAGAAATACATATTTCTCGCGATTTCGCTTGTCTCTGTCCTTAATCAGACAGATTAAATTATAGATGCCTAGTTAAATAGAAACTATTCAATGAATTCTGTTTTCTACATAATTTGTCAAAGATTCTTCCCAAAATACCAAATTAAAATTCGAGGATTAGCCTGAGTTGCTTTGATACCATGTCAAAGGGTCACCCTATCAAAACTTCAAAGTCGTCGTGAGGATTAATTGAAGAATATATTACCATCAGGTACTACAAAATCTTAAGCATCCTTCTCCATGGGGGTTAAGAATCGGTCTGGTTGGCAAGCCCTTGTTAAGAGTTAAAGTTTGTTAATCCTTGGTTTAGACGGGTTGAATCCACAATGGGTTAATAAATCCTTGTTAAGAATAAAATTAATAGTTTTTTTTATCATATTAATTATACGTTCTGTGCGAGGAGGTGAATTGAGATTTATTCGGACTTCCTTGCCGGGAATTTTTTTTATAAAGTAGAAAAGGAAGATCTTTCAGAATATTTATAATTTAATTTCAGTTGTACTGTAATCGATTTGATGAATTTGCTTTTCAACTTAAGATACAAGATGAACTTAAGATACGAGATGAACGAAATGTTTGAAGAAGAAATTAGCGTATAGTCTTTTATTTAATTACTAAAGAAAATTCTCTAATAAGTTGGCATGTTTATGTTTGAGGATTTTTGTAGTAAATTTTTTCCCCCCTCTTTGAAACAGGTTTATCTCGACGCACAATTGGCACGCAAATCCTTCTTCATCCCCACCTTCATCACCGTCTTCAACCCTCTTCGACGACATCGAATCCAACCTCCGTGTCCACCCCAGCGGCGCCGCATTCAACAAGCCGTTCCAGGCCGCGGGATTCCGCTTTGTCGGGCGAGGCTCTCCTCCCTCCCCCGCCATCACCTCTGCCGCCCTCAAGTACATCTTTTTCCAGTTCCACCAGAACATGTCGAAGCTCGGCCCGATCCCCAGCCTCGTCGAGGACCTCGCCCTCCACATGTTCCCCTTCCCTACCTTCATCGCGAAATCGAACACCAAGGCTCTATACGACTACTTCAGCTCGTCGGGAGGTTGGATCATCGACATGGCCGAGAAAAAAGGGATGCCGCGTGACGAGGCGTGCCACAACCTGATATTCGCCTGGATATCGAACGCCTACCTAGGCGTTAACGCGTACCTGCCCAGGCTGTTCAAGTGGGTGGTGCACGCGGCGGCGCCCTCCATGCGAAGGCTCGCTGACGAGATCCGTCCGTCATCGCCGCCGACGATGGCAAGGTGACGGCATCGCTCGAGAAAATGGAGCTGGCGAAGTCCGTCGCCTACGAGGCCTTCAGACTCGACCCGCCCGTGCAAGTGCAGTTCGCCAGGGCGAAGACCGATATTGTTGTCGAGAGCCATGATGCCAAGTTCGAGGTGAAGAAGGGGGAAATGCTCGGAGGGTTTCAGCCGATGGCGACGAGGGACCCGAAGGTGTTCGACAGGGCGAACGAGTTTGTGCCGGAGAGGTTCATGGGGGAGGGGAAGAAGATGTTGAGGTACGTATACTGGTCGAATGGACCGGAGACGGAGGATGTTAAGGCGACCGACAAGATCTGTCCCGGGAAAGACTTGGGGGTGATGATAGGACGGCTGTTGTTGGTCGTCGTATTTCAGAGGTATGATACGATCACCGGAAAAGTTTCAGAGGCCATGGAGGATGTTACGACGACGGTGACCGGATTCACCAAGGTCAACGCTGCTAGTTCCTCATGATCAGGTGAATGTTGGATGGATACTTGTACCCTGAAATTATGTGGTATTTTAACGAGACTTGTGTTCTGAGAATTTGCTTAGTTTGTGTTGGTTGTGAACGTGTTACTACGTACAATGTGGTTAAGTTTCTGATATTTTGTATTTTCTTTTCTGGATTGGGTTTTTCTGCATTATGGTCATACTATGGGTTCTGGCTTGTGTTAATTCTTGGTTTTTACTTGAAGATTAAAAGGTAAATGACATTACTTTGTTTATGTCACTTGGTTGTTATGAAAATGAAAAACAAGAAACTAATATTAATTTCTTTTTTGTCAAACTCTCTCTTTATTGTCCATTTTCCATCCATTTCGTCCATTATTTTGAGAAATAAAAAGATCTAAATTTCTCTATGTAGAGACCACTGTTTAGATAACAATCATGTATTGCTCAATGAATAATCGTGCTTCATCTTGTTTAATAAATAATCGTGATTCATCTCGAGCAAACTGCAAAGTGAAATAACACACGCATATGAGATTCGGATCCCCTTCATTATCTAAAAAGTAGTGAATGGACCACTACATAATCACAATCATTGATTATCTAGTTGGTGGTTATGATTTTTCTTTTAGGATAAATTAGGAATGAGTGCAATACAAGAGGGTATATGATAAGTATTAAATTTAGATTGTATCATAATCGCCTATTAAGTAATCAACGATGAGATTAAAAATAGTGGTCTCTTCACTACTTTTTTGTAGTGGAGAGGATCCAAATTCCGCATATGTGACAAGTAGCCATAGAGGATTGTGGTTGAGAGTAGCCATAGAAGTCCCAATCCATAAACATACTTACTATATCCAAATGTGTAAAGACGTATAGATAACATTTTGAAATAAGCAAGATGTACGTTTAGGGGGTGTTTGGTTACATTTCTATAAATTATAGGAAATGTTTTCCATCCAAAATTTGATTTCCTTGTATTTCTTAAAAAAATTATAGGAAAAGTTTTGAGAAGTTAAAAAGTATAAATTTTCTTATTTTTTGTATTGTGCTTGTTTGGTTCAAAACAAGAAAATGACTCATAACTTTTGGAAAAATAGCAACATTTCCTATAATTTATAGAAATGTAACCAAACACCACCAACTTTATAGAAAAGTAAGAACTTTATAGAAAAATGTTAATGAGTTTTATTATTTAAATAATGAATGCGTCAGATTTCCAAGAGATTTCCGTCCATTTTAGAAGGAAATCAATTTCTATAAATTTTGGTACTTTTCTATACTTTACGGAAAACATTTCTGTAAATCTTTTTTGAGCCAAACACAGTTTGTGAAAATCTATAGAAAACTCTTAATTACAGAAATGCCATTGTTTGTACTTTTTGAGAAAACATTTCTCAAAAACAATGCAACCAAACACCCCCTTAGACAAGAAAGAATTCACGAAATCTATTAAAAAAAGTGAACAACACACGTACACAAAAATAAATATATAATAAATAAATAAAATCAGTGTTCGTGATTTATGCAACATGGCCTCCTCCTAATGGTCTGGTGTACGCCACCGCATTGAGTGCCTAAAAATTTTCAGCGCTCGTGTTCTCGTTCCTAAATCCAAGTTGACATTAATTATAGGTGAAGATGAGCCATAGCTATCCGCAGGGGATATAATTTAAGATCAAAAAAATAAGGCATATTACAGGCAAGTACACATTATAAAAGTGTAACATTATAAGTGACAACTGTTCACTACAGGCTCAATATCAATCAATGCATGAAATGTGTCAGCCATTCAAATTTGAATAGGAATATGGTCATGCTTAGTATGGTCATGGCATCAACGTCAGTACGTCACATTATTGAATTTCATGCTCGAGTTAAAATTTTCTATCACGCATGGCTATTTAAATAAAAACCAATTCAAACTTTATGACACAATATGACAGTAAAAAGAAGAATTGGTAAATTTGACTAAAGAAATAGGGTTATTTAAGATATTAGCCCCTTACACCTTCAATAATTACATATTAGTCCTTGGAATATTTGATATTGCCCGTAAATCACTCACATTCTTAAGTGATCTTGTAACTTGGTCCCCCGTTGACCAAAATAACCCTTAGTTTATGTTCTCTCGAATCCCTTAGTGTTATTAGCTGAGGGATATTTTGGCCATTGCCGGACCACGTCGCAAGGCTACTTAGGATTTCCATTTGCCCAAAAAGATCCAATAATAATTTTTATAGGCATCAATATGAACAATAAGCTCCTTGCTTAATAAATCATAGTCGCAACTCATCAATAATGAAAAAATAATGATCACAAGCTTTCAATTACACAGGTTACTTACAAGTACTAGACCAAGTATGTATTCTCATTTGCATTTCATCTCCTCTCTATCTTTCCAACCTTCACTATAAATATAATGCTTCACAAGTTGCCATAGAATCTACACGAATATGTACACACCTTCTCAAATACTTTGAAAAGTTGGCTTATTGCAATTCCCGCCAATATCATGACCAATGTAGTCAAGATTTGTGCATAACAGGTATATTTCTTGAGTAAATTAAATTCTATAAAATTGTAGTATATTTTTAACTTCTATATCGTCGTTCTTCATTCTCCGACTCTCTTTACAAGAGAAATGCCATTCGGATCACCACCCCACTCTTCAAACACAACTATCAAGTTATCCGTTGGATTGAGCCAAGAACGAGGAAGATGATACCTAGATAATGAAAGTTATTGAGCTCCCTTACGTAACACATCAAAAGGGGTTTAGCCACTTATTACCCCTAAACTTTAATTGTCATTACCATTTAGACCCCCTTATCAATGGACATCAATATGTTGCAGAGAGACCGATCTATTTTCTTATAGGTGTTGAATATACATAGAGTTAACTCTGTTTGGTCATCGGCCGGTCTAATTGCTAATAAAAAAGTTTAGCGATAATAAGTGGCAAACATCCTATAATACGTTTTTTTTGCAATTCCAAGGTTAACTCACCATCTTTGAGATGACTCTCCACAATTACTGATGCAAACTGTCTCATTATGGTGACCACGGTAATCACAACCATTACAGGCTCCATGGGCTTTATAACTGGGCCAGTAACGACCGATATTATGACCGTTGATCCACACCAGACCTTTTCCCATGCTATTCATGTCTAAAGCCAATGGATCATTTCCTTCAGGGGCATTAAAAAATGCCTGGAAAGGAATAAATCATTATCCAAGAGAATAAAAACACAGTGAAATTAACGCTCATATATTAGCCAATGTGCAAGATAAGTTAAATTTGTAGCACTTACCTTATACCATGTTAAGGGCTGAGCTTTAGATGCTTCTCCCCAATTAACTGACGAAATGCCCCTGAAAGAATAAAGATTAAGAGCCTCACCTTGCAAACCAACCTGCACGGTGCAAAAAAACATTGGCTATGCTCTCATTATTGTTTGTTAATCATGTCAACAGGGAAAATTATGCTAGATCAGAATATACCACATAACTTGCTTTATGACTAATCATGATCATGAAAAAAAAATTGATTATAATCTGTGTTATTTAGGTGATGCTAATTCATGTAGATAAAGGATCTACACAACAAAACAATTAGATTTGCAGTGATCTTTTTTGCGACTGATGATCACAACATCTATTTTATTACTTGAAAGGTCTTGATTTATTGTAGTCTGATAATTAATTACAAAGGGCAGATATATTGTGAATTAGCATTAATTTTTGCTAATCTAATTTTGCAATCATCTCAGCAAAGCTAATTAAAATAGTTTTTCTTGATGGTCAAGAAATATCTAAAAGTAATAATTTTTGTTATTTAGCATCAATCATTCGGCAAGATGGTGAGATTGAGGACAATGTTGTTTATCGAATCAAATCGGAATGGTTGAAATAGAGGAGTGCTTGGGAGTGTTATGTGATCATACAATACCAATGAAACTAAAGAAAAATTCTATGCGATGGTTATAAGACCAACAATGCTTTATGGTTCAAAGCGTTGGGTAATTTAAAAAAATATGTGCAAAAAATGAGTGTAGCAGAAATGAGAATGTTGCGATGGTCTTGCAGAGTGTACACCAAAAGATAGGATAAGAAATGAGTGTACCCATAGTAACTGATGTAGAAACGACGAAAACGACGACGAAGTTCAGGAAAAACGAAGCAGGAAACAGTCTGGGTGTTGTCCGGTAAACCGCGGCAACATGTGCGGTCGACCGGAAACGTGCACAAGTACAAGGTATTTTCTGGAGTTCTGGTCGGTCGACCGTCGCGGTCGACTGCGGACCCTGTAATGGATTTTTGGTTTCTGTTGTTCTGTCCGGTCAACCGCAATGGTTTTGGCGGTCGACCGCCAATCGGGTTTTGGGTCTGGCTTCGTTTCCTGTTCTGATTTAGTTTGTGTTTTGATATATTTTGAAACACACGTTTTTTAAGGGTTTTCTTATAGGCAAATTGGAGAGACTTTTGAGCTGTGTATTTGGGAGATTTAGTGAGAGATTTGAGAGCATTGTTTGAGAGATTAATTTGTGAGTTTTGAGTGAATTTATAATCTCTATTTGTATTCTCTTTATTAGTAAAATCCATCCCCTCCTTGTCCCGTGGACGTAGGTACATTACTGAACCACGTAAAATTTGGTATCTTGCATTGTTGGTTCTTGTTTTACCTATTGATTGTGAACCTATATCAGTTTGGTTGTGTTCGTTTCGGATTCCGCTGCGCACAACAAGTGGTATCAGAGCCAAGTTTGGCTTGGGGCTCGTTTGGAGGATTCTCTACATGATTCTCGTTTGAAGAGATCAGATTATCAACATGGGTGAAGCAAGTACATCAGGATTATCTCTTTCGAAGGCGATATAGGGTTTGAGCATCAATAACACTAAAATTGATGTTCAGAAGTTTGATAGCAAGATAAACTTCGGTTTGTGGAGGTGTCAGGTGATGGATGTGTTGGATTTCCAGAATTTGGAGAAGACTCTTGAATTACAAGAGAAACCCGCTGATATGGAGAAGGTTTGGAAGAAGGTTAACAGCAGAGCATGTGAGATTATTAGGTCATGCTTGACGCCGGATTTGATTTACGATGTGATGAACGAGAAGTCGGCAAAACAGTTGTGGAAAATACTAAATGACAAGTACTTGACGAAGAGCATTGAGAATCGACTTCATTTGAAGAAGATTTTTACCAATTCAAGATGAAGATGGGAGTTTCTATTAGAGAGCATGTCAATAACTTCACAAAGTTACTGTCGGATATGGACAATATGGATATCATGATAAAGGACGAAGACAAGGTGATGATGTTATTGTGTTCGTTACCAGAGGATGATTATGGTATTTTTATCCTTACTACGATCAATGGTAGAACCACTGTCAACTACAATGAGGTGACCTCAGCATTGGTTAATTATGAGTTGAGAAAAAATGATAGTGAACCCTCCGAGAAGGCATCGGGAGATGTATTGGCAGTAAGAGATCGTAGTTCAAATCGCTGTCAATTCAATCACTCAAAGTCAAAGTAGAGAGGTGACCATAAAAGTGTTGGTAGGAATTAATGTGTTTTTTGCAAAGAAGATGGACATTGGAAGAATGAACGCCCAAAGTTGAAAGATCGAGCCGGAAAGAATAAGGGAAAAGCTATACAAGCTTCAGAGGTGAATGTTGCCAAACCTAGTGACGACAATTCAGATTCAGATTCTTCAGGCTATTCATACCTAACACTACCATCAGTTTGCTATGCTGACTCTACGGATTGGATGTTGGATTCGGGTGCTACAAATCATATTTTGCTCGAGGAGGGATTAGTTCTCCAGCTTTAAAAGTTAGAAAGAGGGATTGTCGTGCTCATGAGTAATGATCACATATGTCCTATTGGTGGTATTGGAACAGTCCCGATCAAGATGTGTGACAGAGTGACCAGAGAGCTGAAGAAAGTGAGATTCGTTCCGTAGTTGACGAAGAATATCATTTCATTTGGAACTTTGGAGACAGCAAGCTATAGAGTGATCTTGGAGAATGCAACTCTGAAGGTCACAAAGAGGTCCATAGTGGTGATAAGAGGTGTCAGGAAAAACATTTACTACTTAAAGGGCAAGACAGTGACATAAGGTCTGACAGCTTTGATTACCACAGAGGAGGATATACCAGCTTATGGCATATGAGATTGGGACACACTGGTGATAAGTCCCTGTAGGTATTGGCGAAACAGGGGTTGAAAGGTACAAAGACCTGCAAGATGGAGTTGTGTGAGCATTGTGTACTTGGAATGAAGACAAAATTGAAATTCGACATCGTAATTCACAACACCCAATGTATATTGGATTACCTTCACACAGATATTTGGGATCCTTCCAAGAACACATCACTTGGTGGGCCAATTATTTTGTCACTTTCATCGACGATTATTCTAGAAGGAATTGGGTATACACTATGAAGCATAAACATGAGGTCCTGAATATATTTGTGGAGTGGAAGAAAAAAATAGAACTGCAGACAGGCAGAAAGGTAAAGGTACCTCGTTCAGACAATGGTGAAAAGTACAAGAGTGATCCATTTCTGTAGTTTTGTCGAGATCACGACATTAGGCGACACTTCACAGTTAGGGAGAGACCGCAACAAAACGGGATGACCGAGAGATTAAACCGTATTTTACTGGAGAATATGCATTGTATGCTCTCACAGAGTTAATTAGCTAGATCCTTTTGGGCCGAGACATTGGTTTATGCGAGTCATTTCGTGAATAGGTTGTCCTGCACTGCGATACATGGAAAGATTCCTATGAAGCTATAGTCTGGTTCGTGGCTAATGATTATGAGTTGCTTCGGATATTGGGTGTCTAGCTTACTATCATGTGTGATGAAAAATTAGATCTGAGAGTGAGGAAAGCAGTCTTTGTGGGCTTTAGAGATGGAGTTAAAGGCTTCAAATTGTGGGATTCACAAGATAAAAAGATGATCATTAGTAGGGATGCTACTTTTGATGAGGCGTACATGATGAGACCTCAAGTTCCTCAACAGGTGGAGGAAGGCCAAACTAGTGGGATATCGCAGCAAATGGAGGATGATGTGACTCCACATACTTCAGAGAACATTGTATCCATTAAGACTCCTACAGAAATGACACTAGGAGGAGATATGACAGATGGGCATTTGGAGGATACAGTGGATGGTAAGACTCAGGGACAGGGTCATGTTCAGGAGTCGATTACAACTAATAGACCTAGAAGGGTTATTCGTCGGTCAGCTAGATACAATGATGTGATGGTTGCATATGTTTTATCAGTGGAGATCGTTGATGATCTGGTTCCTTGTACATATAGGAAAGCAAAATTAAGCTCTGATTCAATCAGATGAAGGGAAGCTATGGAGGAGGAGATGCACTCTCTTCAGAAGAATAACACTTAAGAACTTATAAAACTACCGAAGGGTAATAAGGCTATTAGAAGCAAGTGAGTATATGCAAAAAAAGAGGAATCTTCTAATGAGGACATTCGGTACAAAACCAGATTGGTTGCCAAGGGATATGCCCAACTTGAGGGCGTTGATTATAACAAAGTATTCTCACCGGTCGTGAAGCATTCGTCGATAAGGATACTATTAGCATTGGTGGCACAACTGGATTTGGATTTGGTCCAAATGGATGTTACGACAGTCTTTCTACATGGAGACTTAGAGGAGAAGATCTACATGACACAACCTATGGGTTTTAGAGCTACGGGCAAGGAAATTTTTTTGTGCAAACTGAAGAAGTCTTTTTATAGATTGAAGCAATCGTCGCGACAATGGTATAAGAGATTTGATAATTTTATGATTGACCATGGGTACATGAGGAGCCCATATGATCCATGTGTTTACATGCACAAGCTACAGGATGGTGAGTATATTTATTTGTTGTTATATGTTGATGATATGTTTATTGTTTTCAGGAATTCTTTGACTATTCGAAAGTTTAAAAAAAACTATCATCCGAATTTGAGATGAAAGATCTTGGAGAAGCTAAGAAGATATTGAGTATGAAGATTAAGAGAGACAGGGTGAAAGAAAGATTGAAGCTAACACAGAGGAGCTACTTATAGAAAATGTTAAAAAAATTCATCTTTGATGATAATGCCAAGACAGTGAGTACTCCATTGGCTCCCTATTTAAGCTTTCAGCTAAGATGTCACATATTTCAGTCGAGGACGAAGAGTACATGCCAAAGGTTCCATATACCAATGCGGTGGGTAGCTTGATGTATGTAATGGTGTGTACGAGGTCAGATTTATCACAGGCTGTGAGCATGGTGTCCAAATACATGCACGATCCCAGTAAGGGTCATTGGGAGCCCGTGAAATGGATTTTACGATATATCAAAGGTCCTGTGGATGTTGATTTGATATTTCAAAAGAATGAGAGATTAGGAAGGATTGTGTTGGATACGTGGATTCTGATTACGTGGGGGTTCTTGACAAACGTCGGTTTACTACAGGATATGTATTTACATTGACAGGAGCACCGGTGTTGGAGATGTGCATTTTAGTCTTCAGTGGCTCTCTCTACTACGAAGACGGAGTATATGACGGTGACTGAAGTTGTGAAGGAGGCTTTGTGGTTGTAAGGATTGTTGGATGACGTGAGGATTGCACAGGAGACCATCCGGGTGTATTATGATAGCATGTCATCTATCTATTTGGCAAAGAATCAGGTATATCATGCACGCACAAAGCACATTAATGTCCGATTATATTTTGTTCGAGATGTTTTAGATGATGGAGATGTCATATTGGAGAAGATCCACACAAAAGACAATCCTGCAGATATATTGACCAAAGTTATCACGGGAGTGAAATTTGGTTATTGTTTAGAGTTATTGAATATTCTTTGTTGTTAAGAGCCTTTGAATGCCATTTGGATGAACTACGTGTGGCTTGATTCATTGGGTAAGAGGATACGTAGGTAGTCATTTTGATGCAGCCAGTTTGATGAGTTGATACCAATATTTTGGAATTTATTCGCAATTTCGTTTGGGTTCTCGACTTGTTATGGATTGAGTCTGTTATCGTAAATTATTTTCACTTCGTACTGGACGCAATAAGTAGGACGTTTGGTTGGTATTAGTGTTAGCTCAGTTTTGGAAAAACTTCGCCGAGGTAGAGAATTGTAGAAACAGCAAAAACGGTGACGAAGTTCAGAAAAAACGAAGCAGGAAGCAGTTGGGTGTTGTCCGGTAGACCGCGATAACATGTGCGGTCGACCAGAAACGTGCACGAGTACAGGGTATTTTCTGGAGTTCTGGTCGGTCGATCGCGGCGGTCGATCGTGAACCCTGTAATGAATTTTTGGTTTCTGTCGTTCTGTCCGATCGACCGTGATGGTTTTGGCGGTTGACCGCCAATCGGGTTTTGGGTCTGACTTCGTTTCCTATTCTGATTTGGTTTGTGTTTTGACATATTTTGAAACACACGTTTTTAATGTTTTCTTAAGGCAAACTGGAAAGACTTTTAAGCTGTGTATTTGAGAGATTTGGTGAGAGATTTGAGAGCGTTGTTTAAGAGATTAATTTGTGAGTTTTGAGCGAATTTGTAATCTCCATTTGTATTCTCTCTCTATTGGTAAAATCCATCCCATCCTTTTGCCCCGTAGACGTAGGCACATTGTCGAACCACGTAAAATTTGGTGTCTTGCATTGTTGGTTCTTGTTTTACCTATTGGTTGTGAACCTATCTCAGTTTGGTTGTGTTCGTTTCGGATTCTGCTGCGCACAACAATTAAGAGGTTGCTCCTATTGAAGATATAATGAAAGAGAATCGATAAAGATGATTTGTTCATACATAATAGAGGCCTCTTAGTGTACTTGTTAGAACAGTGATAGTATTATAATTAATTGGGCTAGGAGATCTAGAGGTGGACTGAAAGAACTTAGTTGGAAGCAATTAAGAAGAATATGATTATGTTTAACTTAACGGATAATCTATCTCATAATAGAATGGAATGGAAGAATAGGATTTATATAGCCAATCCCAAACATTTAAGAAAAATGCTTTGATGTTATTTTTGTATTCTTAATGAGCCAAATCTTATCCTAGAAAATTGTGTGATATAGATCTAATGAATTGAATTTTGTTTTTATCTATAACTGAAAACAATTCTGTGATTAGAACATTTACTAGATTGTGATTTTGTAAATATTGGCGCATATTTTTCAGTAAGAGGCACCAACTTTAAGTGTGATGAACTAGTATTTGTCATGATCTTTACATCATTGACATCCAAATATTTTCTTTGAGAGTTTCAGTTCACAATAATTCATGTATACACAGCTGAAACACTACTTCTCCGCCGTGTCAAAAATATACAAGAACAGGTTAATTATTCCTTGCACTCTTAAGTGTTATTTCGACTATTTCAAATAGGTTAAAATCCACGTTGCCACTTTTGACTCCTACCTAACTGACATGTCTAATTTAGTCCTATGCGAGAGGATTAAAAAGCAGTTGGTTTTTAACTTAAATTACATTAGTGCAAGAAGATCAATTATGTATGCACTCTGTGGTTTGAATCTACACCTTCATTTTGACAAAGTGTGGATTCGGGCAGTCCACTATACATGAGCATACTTTTTCTATACGTGTAGAGGGAATGGAAGATGCATGTGCAATAAATATAGTTTATTGGATAAGGAGTACTAAAGATATTATTTGTCTTAAATAAGCTAGAAATTGTTGTAATTGCTTCCATACAATAGTAATGATATAATAGATAATTGCTTCTAGGATTTCTTGACGGTCGCATACAACGTTCTTGATCTGTTGTTGAGCATTACATGAATCTAGCCTAGTTTCTTATCTAACTTCAAGTGAATGGTGACCTAATGCTAGAAAAAGGCCATCTGTTGGTTCTACAGATACACGATTTAATAGAAAGTAAATTATAATACTCTAACTATTCCATGCATGGTTCCTGCTTGAGTAAAAAAAGATCTCTATAATTTGTTACAATTAGAATAGGAACGCATTCATATTCGCTCACATTGTCAAGATTTAGGTGTGGTTCTTCATCAATGAATTCAAGGAGAAATCTCTACATCTGATGAAGGATATGCATGTTATATGCTTCTACATATTAGATGCTTTCGTTGTTATTTGTAATAGATTACGTATATTTTCCATATATATAAATAAAGATTTTATCATGTACCATGCAATTCAAGACGGTCCAAAGTTAAATTAGGTTTAACATAGCAGTTTTCAATGAGACAGTCGTAAGGAGGAAATAGAAATACAAGGAAACTAACCTGATATATCCATTGTCCCCAGGAGAGGTCTCTTTTTCCCTCATTAAGACCGTTGAGGATAACAGGACCAAGAACCCCATAATTCCATGACTCATAATGTGTCCCACCATTCTATTAAAATTAAAAGAAGAGTTTTAGTTATCAAACTTTTAGTATATATAAATTATCAAATATAGATGAAAATCAATAACCAAGTCACATAAAAATCAACATACGTAGAGACCAACTGTGGCACTTAAAAGCGAAATCTTGTTCATGCCTGCGCGCAACTTTACATTTCCAGTGTATGTCAATGTCGAACGTTCTAAACCTCCGAAAGCAATTCCTAAGTTACCAAGAAGAGAACTTTACAAAAATTAATAAATCTTTATATCTCCTGAATTTTTGTTATTAAAAATCTACAAACTGTAGGATATTACAAACCAGTCAGTTGACCATTGATATAAATATGCAAAGATGGACCAGCAGATGACACAGTGAGGGCTAGATACTGCCCGTTCTTCAGATATTGTTCATTTTCACTTATATTTACACTGAAAATAGAGAGAGTTAATTTATGAACACAGAAGTTATGAATTTATCTCAAAATATTAGATGTGACACAAGCTACTCACTGTGTTGTATACCACAAATAGTCTGTGCGATCTCTGGTTACATTAACCTGCTCCAGCAGTCCTGTGTCTGTGAATGTGTTTTTATCAGATTCCATGAAATTTTTTGTCATGTTAACCTGCTCCAACAATCCAGAAGTCATGAACGCTTTTTTATCATCATTATAAGTTTGTTCTTTGTATGACTTCCAGGAAAATCCACCAATACGTGACATTTTCATCTGCACCTTGTTGCCTCTAACCTGTACAATTTAATATATCAGCATCTTACCAAATTGCCCACCACAATAGTTTAGTTTTTTGTATTCTGTAGAATTTATAGTTTTGAATTGTTTAGGTAATTGCAGATACAAGAACAAAAAAAGCCTCATCCAAAATTTTTAGGGTCGCCTATATGAATAATGTTCAGCTATTCAGCTGTTTTATATTGAGGTTTATATCCTCCACAAAGTTTTCACTATCAAATACTTCTTAACTGCTTCCAAACCAAATTATTTTAGACCTACCTCTAGTCATCCTAATTGTAATAATATTATCACTTCTCCTAATTTGTACATATAATAGCCTGAGTTCCTCAAATCTCTCATTTATCTTCAATATGAAGAGATCTCTAACTTCCTACAAATGCACTTATTTATTATCAATTGAAATAGAAAACCTAATTCATTATGAGATCTCTTGGGCTTTATATAGGCCCCTTACACAAATTACAAATAAGTCCTAACTAATAATAATATGTCAACACTCCTCCTCAAGATGGGCGAAAGATATCTACTAAGCCCATCTTGTCACATCCTCTATTCATATCTACTGAGCTAAGTCCTTTAGTCAGACAATCTGCTGCCTGGTCCTTAGTCAAAACATGACTTAGCTCCAGTAGTCCACTATCCAACTTCTCTTTGATGAAGAACCTATCGATCTCGATGTGTTTGGTTCTATCATGCTGTACTGGATTGTTGGCAATACTGATGGCAGACTTGTTGTCACACCACAACTTCATCTTAGCTCCTTGATCCAGCTTCAGCTCTACCAGCATACTCTTCAACCATAGCAACTCAGCAACTCCTAAGGCCATAGCTCTATACTCTGCCTCAGCTGTCGATCTCGCCACCACCGACTGCTTCTTGCTCTTCCACGAGACTAAGTTGCCTCCTATAAAGATGCAGTATCCTGAGGTGGACCTCCTGTCATCAGCACAGCTAGCCCAATCAGAGTCACAATAGCCCTCAATGCTCATGTGTTCATTCTTCCTGAAGATTAGCCCTTTTCCGGGGGCATTCTTCAAATACCTTAGAATCTGGTACACTGCGTCCATATGACCATTCCTTGGATCATGCATGTAGCGACTCACCACACTCACTGCAAAAGAGATATCGGGGCGTGTGTGACACAGATAGATCAACCTGCCCACCAGCCTTTGATATCTATCGCGATCAACTGGTTCTCCAGCTTCAGCACCCAGCTTAAACTTCTGGTCGATCGGTGTAGTTGCAGGTTTGCATCCTAACATTCCTGTTTCTTTGAGAAGATCCAGTGCATACTTTCTCTGGGATAGGATGATCCCCTCCGCTCCTCGAGCTATCTCTATTCCAAGAAAGTATCGAAGCAAAGCCAAGATCTTTCACCTCGAATTCCTTACCCAGTCTTACTTTGAGTTGGGCAATCTCCTTCTCATCATCCCCTGTAATAATCATATCATCCACATATACTGCAAGCAAGGTGATGTGACCTCCACTTCTTCGAAAGAACACGGTATGGTCGGCGCTGATCTGCTGGTACCCCATACCAATCATAGCCCTCCTGAATCTGTCAAACCAAGCACGAGGAGACTGATTTAGCCCATAGAGAGACTTCTTCAATCTGCAGACCTTTCCCACTGTCTGATCTGTACCGAATCCTGGTCATAGAGAGACTTCTTCAATCTGCAGACCTTTCCCACTGTCTGATCTGTACCGAATCCTGGTGGTATCTACATGTATACTTCCTCCACTAGATCTCCATGAAGGAATGCGTTCTTCACATCTAGTTGGTGTAGCTTCCATCCACCATTTACTGCCAGTGAGATTAAGGTCTGAACAGTGCTCATCTTTGCCACCGGTGCAAAAGTCTCATCGTAGTCGATGCCATATGTCTGACTATATCCTTTTGCCACCAGACGAGCTTTGTAGCGCTCAACCTGTCCATCTGGATTCTGCTTCACAGTGAAGACCCACTTACATCCAACTGCTCTCTTCCCTTTTGGTAGTTTTACTAGCTCCCAAGTGCGGTTCTTCTCAAGGGCCCTTAGCTCTTCGTGCATAGCAGCTTTCCATTTCTGGTCCTTCTTTACAACCTGCCAATTGTTAGGTATAGTAACAGAGTCCAGAGATACAATGAATGCTCCATGTGCAGGGTGGATGTTAGAATATGATACAAACTGAGCAAGATCCCAACCATATCTGTGCAGGGTGGATGTTAGAATATGATACAAACTGAGCAAGATCCCAACCATATCTATCGGGAGGATTTCTCGCATTACTGCGAGTAGTCCTCCGTACCCGCATTACTGCGAGTAGTCCTCCGTACGGTTATTGGTGTGGGATGAGTAGGAAGAGGAATGGAATCACATTGAGAGGAATCTGGTGGTGTAGGTGTCTCAGGAGTCGGGGCAGGCGTTGGCAAGGGACTTGGCACCAGTGGCACTGTAGGTACTGTTCCCGCAATTTGTTTCCCCTTCCTACTATAGGTAAGTAGTTCCCCCTGAGCCGTTGGTCTAACCCCTCTTGTCTCATTCTCCTCTTCTTCTTCATTCTCTTGCTCCTCCTCAACCAAATCTCTTTCCCAAGGAATCGTTACAGATATTGATTTTTCTGATATCTTACCATTCTCAGACATTGATTTGTCTATTCTCTCACCATTCTCCTCCTCTCGCCTCATACTTTCAGTATTAGGCGAGTTACCAACAGATGAAGTTACCTTCCGAGTGTAATATGGCTCGAGTTCTCGGAAGTGCACGTCCATGCTCACAAACAACCTTTTTTCCACTGGGCTCCAGCAAACATATCCCTTCTGAGTAGCAGAATATCCTACAAAGATGCACTTCACAGCTCTAGGGGCAAGTTTTCCGACAGATGACCTGTTGTCCTTCACAAAGCACACACAGCCAAACACTTTAAGTGGAAGAATCCCACCATTATTTCCCTTTAATGTCTCACACGGAGACTTCCAATCCAGCACTCTCGAGGGCGTTCTGTTGATCAGCGCTGCTGCGGTCAACACTGCTTGCCCCCACAATGTTTCTGGGACATTCATAGAGATCATCATACTTCTAGCAACCTCTAAAAGATGTATGTTCTTCCTTTCCGCTACCCCATTCTGAGCTGGTGTATATGGACAGGTCACACTTCACTCTTATTCTTCATCAGGTATAACCAAGTAACGCGAGAGAAGCAATCAATGAATGTAACAAAATACTTGTATCCGTTCATAGAACTTGTGGAACAAGGCCCCCAAACATCTGAATGTATCAGATCAAATGCATGAGAACTCCTATGATCAGAACTAACATAAGAGCTTCTAGTAAGCTTTCCCAACTTACATGCATCACACACAAGTTTCTCTTTATTTGCTTTCTCAAATAAAGATGGATACAATCTACTTAAAGTACCAAAGGATGAGTGTCCCAAGCGCTGGTGATGAAGCATCAATTCACTCTCGGCACTCATTTCAGATCCTACTCCTGCTTTCTCTACCATTGACACCAAAGCTGAGTCCAGTCCCTCACGATCCAAGTACCACAGTCCATTACTCCACGTGCCAGTCCCAAGTCTCCGTCCTGTCCCTTTCTCCTGGAAGATCACCTTGGGAATATCAAAAGAAACGATACATTTTAGTTGGAGGATAATAGCACTAATGGACAAAAGATTTACTGGAAAGGAAGGAGCATGCAAAACATTGGACAAAGTTACAGAACCAGTACAATCGACTGTACCCTTACCAACCACCGGATAAAATATAGCATCAGCTGTTTGAATACTATCAGGTGATGCTAAGTGAGTATATGATGAGAACTCACTAGCATTACCTGTCACATGTCGAGACGCACCAGAATCGACTATCCATTCTGATGATCTGTTGGGAGACATAGAAGCAAGAGCATGTATGTCATCAGTACCTTTGGTCGGATGAGCATAGGTAGCAGTATTGCCTCTGACCAAGAACGAGGTGGATGCCTCCTCAGTCCCACTCCTCAAGTCTCCATCGCCTGCTACTTGCTGCTTCTTCCTTAGTATCGCCAGGAGAGCACGGTCCTCTTCAGTAAAGACCACCTCAGCTTCTTCTTCTTCTGCTACCGTCAGATTCGCCCGATTCTCTGCTCCTCTTCCACCTCGTCGACCCCCACGGCCACGACCACGACCTCCGAACTGTCCACGTCCACTAGATGATCCACTTCACCGCAGTTGTAGCACTGTCGAGTCTCCCCCTTGGATCCAGTGTTGCTAGAGGCTGCTAGTGCTGACTTCACCACCGGAAGTCCACCTGTCCCCGCCTGCAGCCGAATGCGAGTCTCCTCCTGGATCATAACAGAGACAGCCTCCTCAAGCATGGGAATCTTCGGCTGAGCTAGCAGCAATGCGATTCGCTGAGCGAACTCTGATGTCAATCCCTTGAGAAACACCATAGTCCTCTCCTGTAGAAAGGCCTCCCGCTCTTTACATCTCGGGTCCTTGCAGCTAGCCCGGGGAGAAAAATGATCATAATCCAGCCACAGACGTTCCAGCTCTGTAGCATATTCCTGTACAGTCCTCTCTCCCTGGACTGTGGCGTCGATCTCTCCTTTGATCTGGAATACCCTCAGGTTATTCCCTACTCCATCATATGTCCTCCTCAACTTCTCCCAGACGTCCTTCACCTTTTCAATGCCATCCACCGTGGCAGCGATAGTCGGGACCAACGAGTTGGGAAGCCAGATGTACACCAACATATGAGTGGACTTCCACTCATCTCTTCCCTCTGAGTCCTCCTCCGGTTCTGTCGCCTCTCCTGTCAAGTAACCCTCCAGGTTCCTCCCTGCAAGGGTGTATCCACACCGCCGCGACCATGCTCAGGTAAGTACCTCGGTCAAATCAAGCTGAAAATTATCGATGGTTCGGTAAGCTCACAACTTCTTCTGATGGTTTTTGTCGCCACTTCACCAACGAGCGATACTTATTAGCTCATCAAAGTTGATACCTCCGCTGGGATTCAAACTTCTTGATCGATCTCCATCCATCGAATATGCCTTCAACCAAACCGCCTGTTCACCTGCTTCTTCGACCTCTTTGTTTGTGTGGCAGTAAAATTCCACCTCGCTGCACAACAAGGATATGGAGCTCAACAAATTTCCCGTTTCTCAGAGGAAACTAAGAACCAAAACAATTATATATCTCATCGCTGTGACGAATAATTCATACTTCATGTCATCAGTTCGAGGACTGTGTAGTCGAGGAATCCTATGTCAAACTCGAGGTTCATCACGGATGTGAACGCAAGGGGGAGAGGTGTGCTCAGTCTAAGAAGAGGGGTAGTTGGGCGCTGATCGGTACAGGGAGTGGCGGGGGGCTGGGGAGGGCTTATCGCGAAGGTGGCTGGGGGGGGACTGATCGGACAGGGGGACTGCTATCGGCGATGAACAGAGGGGGGTCTGATCGGCCGAAGCTAATTAGGGGCGGGTCTGATCGTGCGAACGGGGGGGGTGGCCTGTATCTGGCGTACGAACACAGGGGGGCGCGGCGTGAAAGGAGAGAGGGGGGGCGGCGGCTAGGGTTAGGGTTTTTGTGGAGGCTCTGATACCAAGTTGAAATAGAAAACCTAATTCATTATGAGATCTCTTGGGCTTTATATAGGCCCCTTACACAAATTACAAATAAGTCCTAACTAATAATAATATGTCAACATTATCCCATGTTTAATTGTATATCCACTCATCCATCGGAATATTCTTGTTTATGCTGACAATGAAATCTATAGAATGACACAAATGAATTCCTTAATGAAAGATAGATAAAGTACCACTTTGACCCTGTATGAAAATTGTTCTTTTGTATAGCAGAGTGCCACAAAGGAACATACTTTTGTAGAATGATGGTAAACTGTTCTCACCCTAGCAGTGTTATAAACTGCAGTTTTGCAGTCAGGAAGAATGCTGATGGACCAAGGAGGAAGCTCATAGCTCATTCCATTATATGTTACACTCGCACTAGACTTTGTGTCATTGTTGGCAAGAAATGCAGCACAAGCTCCCGATTTTGACCTGTACACATAAGACTGATGAAAGATGCTTAAAAAAGTATTTACTTTGATCATCTCAGATTATTGCAACATCAAGGAAGGGCATAGAAACTAATTTGCAATCCAACCTGTTGATTGTCCCCAAGAGATGCCACTGTGAGCTCACCATAGACCAAAATCGGTTCACACTTCTTGATAACTTTATGTAAGTCCCTCAAATGATCATATTTTGGTTGACGTACTAGACCTGATCACGAGGAAACAAAATATAACACCAAATTAATCAAAAAGTTTAAGATACACACATTGACTGTTATTCTCTCATGTACAGAGTTGACCTCCAAACCAATTTTTCAGACGTGTGATCTATTCTTATATATAGTGATGCAGAGCGCGTCATGGACACTTTATAGAGCATCTGGACTGACAGAAGTCCACATGGGGGACCGGAAAGTTAACTTGCAACAAAGAACAAGTCATCTCTCCCAATCCATAGATCAAAATCAGACAAATCAATATATGAAAATCGCGTATTTTTCGAGACAGATTCAACCAAACCGACTGATAGTTCAGTTTGCAGCTGCCAAAACCATAAATATCCCTCATAATTGAGAGATATCAAACCATGTGTCTTTTTTTGCTATTTTTAATAATGACATACGAGTCGGTTTTGATTAGGAAACGAATATGGTTTGATTTCAGGTTTGACCGATTAGTTTCTCAATCATAAGGAGTTTTTAGGGTAGTTTTGATACTTTCCATTTCTCTTAATTCAGCCCTATTAGGAATATGTTTTGTTTTCCTATTTAAGTAAATGATTGTAAACCTGAGAGTTATTACATTTTGATTAATAAATTCCTCTTTCATGTTACTTCTTGGATTTGAATTTGCCTTTTCGTGGATTCAAAAATTGTTCTTTGCGTATTCAAAAGACGCCCATTGGTGGATTCCAAAGTTTTGCTTTCTTGCTGCATCACATAGTATACATTTGCTATGGGTTGGAAATTTAAAATCTCCTTTCATACTCAATTTTCATTCTTATTCCAAATTTACCTTCGTTTTTGTTCGTGGCCACTATAACCACAAAAAAATTATGATCAAACAAAAGTAGGCATGTTGTGGTGACAAAACACTATGAATAACCTCTATTTCTTCCCAAATCCAAATGCGGGTGTTCTCAATAGTCAAGTGCAATAAAAAAAGATTCAATTTGTAATATATTATAGACTTATAGTTTGCAACATACCATATTCATCAATGGGAGCATCATAGTCATAGCTAGTTGCAATGAAATTGCCAGCTGTCCGGCCAAAGTTCGTTCCTCCATGATACTGAATGTTATCAGTAATATTAATTCATTCCACTAATATTAATTCATTTACAAATTCATCAAGCAAACCTTTAAGCATTGAACTACTTACCATGTAGTAACTAACCAAAGATCCACCACTTTGTATAAAACTCGCAACAGCGTACGCCAGGTCCTCAATAGGCCTATGAGGAATAGGACCTCCAAATGATGAGAACCTGCAATTAACATCAAGACATATGAATTTGTTACTCATAGAATTCACACTAAGATGCATATAAGAAACCAAGAAGAGCAAGAAACAGGTACCAGCCTGTCCAAGCTTCAGTCCACAGCTTTGGTTTATAAGGCTTGTTCGGAGTGAAACCATCACAGTAAAATCCATTGCAAGTATCAATCTGGTATTGCAAATTCCATTTCAGTGCCATATGTTAAAAATAGGGTTAATTGCGAATGAAACCTGTATTATCAGCTAGGTGGGGATAGACCTCCCATAGTTCTAATTGTGTGGATAAACCCCCTGTAGTATTTGTTTCAGTGTAGATAGACCCCGTCAGTGAATTTTGTCAACTCTTTTCAGAGTCAAAAGAGTTCAGCAATTGGGGGTCTATCCTCAACAACAGAACTACAAGGGGTCTACCTGCCTCCTCAAAACTCTTCTTTTAAAAGTTAAAAATACAAAAAACAAAATCTACCCTGAGGATCTATCCGCACATATAGAAGTGCAGGGCGCCTATCAACAATTGAGTGATATTATAGGGGGCCTATTGCCAGTTACAACTTAAAAATATAACCACAGTTTCAGAGTTTTAAAGCAGAGAAATGTATCTTTAAGATAGTATCAGATGAATCCTGATTCAAACCTCATCTTACACACACACATTTAAAGAGGATTTAAAAACCGTTGCATAAAGTAGTTCCCGTTTTCACCCATAAAAG